TAACATTTTAATTTTATCTTGCAGATAAAACAGTTAAAAGAGGAGATGAAGAAAGAAATTGCATGCAGTGAAGCCTCACGCTTGAAGGAGGTGAGTATGAAACGCAGCTGAACACATGCTCAGGTATGGCACGGACTTGACTCAAGTCCTATCAGTCTCAGGATGTTTGGAGGTCTTGAACTCTTGACCAAAGGACCGTCCCTCCATTACCCCAGACATCAGTGTCCTAAAGTAAAGACGGAGGATAAGGTGCACACGCAGTGTCTAAGTAATATTGATTTGAGCCATGATTGTATGGTTAAAATTCAACCAGTACCAACAGTGAAACGCATTCATTAACAGCCCTGAGTGATGATGACTGCTCTCTCTCCCTCTGCCAAGTGCAGATCTTTGTCTTTTTTCATCAAAATACACATCTAAAATGCCATTTCTTTTTAAGATAATTCTTAATTCAATCTATTAATGCTCACCTACACTATCGTTCAAAAGTTTGAAGTCATTACGATTTTTGCATTTATTCTAATAATTTAATTTTATAAAGGACACAATCAATCAATAGTGACAGTAAAGACATTAATAATGTTACAAAGATTTTTTTATTTCAAATAAATGGTTTTCTTTTGAACTTTCTATTCATCAAAGAATCCAAAAAAAAAAAAAAAAACACTTTTCCACGAAAATGTTTAGCAGCCCTTACGAAAAAGGAGTTTATTCAAGTGTGCTATTAGTAAAAAATAAAAAAAAATGAGAAAGTACCTGATCTTGAATCTTGTACACAGCGATAATAATTACGAAAAAAAAACATGTTTATTCAAGTGTTATATTAGTATACTTCTTTTCAACTAAGAATAAGAAAGCATACGTCCAGTCTACATTTTATATACTTCTCAAAAATATACTTCAAATTACACTTAAGTGTACTTACTTGACTTATACTGAGAGAAAATTCTGAATATATTTGACTTGTACTCAATCTTTTGATCGAGATATGCTTAAAAGTATAATTAAGTATTCAAAGTATACTTGTCTTATACTTGACAAGTGAAGCCAGTTTTTGGCGATTTTTTTTTTAGCACTTCCGTCCCTGACGCGCAGACTCAAACAGAGCTTGACGACGTAGATGTGACGAGGGGGGGGGGGGGGGGGGGGGGGGGGGTCGGGACTATGAGTCTGTCAACATGCTGACCGCATAGAGGCGGCCGAGGAGGTGGCCAGTGTGAATCACTGGCCTCTGTGCCTAGGAGAGGGTGGAATGAGGCATGCAGCTGACACAACACAGTGACAGGCTGAAGTGGGTGATGGGGTACAGCTGAATCAAAGTGGACAATAAGCCCGGTTTAAAGTCCACTTCATAAAGGGCACCCTTACAATGAGCTTAGCCACTGTGGCTAGTTATTATGGAAATGTGTGGAACTCATCTTTTTTATAATGCCCAAGCTTCAATTTTAACTGGCACGTGCCTGGCTCTGTATAGACAGTGACTCAAACTTAGATACAATGCTTAAACAGTTTGATTTATCTACCTTGGAAAACAATAGTATGATAAACATGTGGTCTGTGCTTGAATGAATAGAAGCACTATTTTTTTCAAAATCGTGTCATTTTAATTGATAATGGTATTTTTTTCCCTCACCAAATGAACTACCGTAATACAGTACTTTTTTACTAATAATGATGCATTCGATTATATTAAAGATATTTATAATGTCACCAAAGATTGCTATACATTCATCAAACTAGTAAGGAAACAGACTAAAGTAACATGCCTTCATTAGTGTTCATTCTCAATATAGAGTATGTCATGAGGCCTTACACAACTCTCTGTTGTATTGTCACAAATCAACACCTACTCCTTTTTGCACACAATGGGTCTTTGAACAATCTGGCAAGGAAACTTTCTTTTTCCCATTCTTTTTATTTCTTTGGTTCGGATGAAAGAAAAAGGGTGGACTGACAACCTTTCTGTGTTGGGTTAGACTAACAACACACTCTGCACCCACATTTACTAAGAGTAACTTAAAAAGGGACTCCCACGTTCTGTTAGGCCTTTTTCGGGGAACACGGGTGGAAAAGTGGATGTCCGAGCTGACCTCAGGTGACCTGACCTTCACACTGCTCTGAACGTATGCACTCAATCAGCCAACATGACATTCCACAAAGCTGCGTCAAGCCTTGATTGGACATGCCACAGAAAGTGGACATTTGGTGTTAAAATGACCCTTTGTGAGTGATGGACTGATATAATGACACCGAATATCTCCCTCCATTTAAATCTCTATCAGAAAACAGATAAAACTTCAAAGCCATTTCCTTTCTTCTGAGCTGAGGTGGACAAGCACATGAAACATGTTGCTAGATTCAGAGGACAGTTCACCCAAAATTTCAAATTCTATCATCATTCACTCACCATTATGTTGGTCTAAGTCTGCTATAAACTTTATTTCTCATATTGTAAAAAGCGCTAAACAAATTACCTGAATTGAATTGAATACAAGTTTGGAATGACACTGCAAGGGTGAGTAAATTGTGACAGAATTTGTAACATTTTATTTGTACTCCTTTATTGACCTACAATTACCATACAGAAATGCATCATTGTAATTTTAGTATTTGTTTGTGATTCTCCCGTTTTCAGAAAGCTGCCACTGAAATTGAGAAGCATAAGTCAGCAGAACTCACAACCATGGAGGTACCGTTCTCTTTGTTGAAGTAGCATACATGCATCCATATACTTTTCTGAATCTGACCATTCTTTTTCTTTCAGCTTCTTGGGGATATAGAGCTGGTTCAAAAAATTAAACAACATATAAAAACTGAAGCAGTGCTGAAAAAGGAGATTGAAAGGTATAAAAAAAAATATGAAAGAGAGCAAGTACTTGTTCTTTCCACTGCCCTCTGTTGTTCTTAATGTTTTTAATTGTTATCAGGCTCAATAAGCAGTTGTGCATGTCCAATCAGGTGTGGGAAAAGAAGTTTGAGATTTTAAGACAGAGGTACACCCTACTGTTTTGTAACTACAATTTTTTGTTTCTTTATGCTCCATTAGCTCTGCTACATTGATTATTTTCTCTCTTAAGTTTCCATGCCATCAAGGATGAGATGTTTTTACGGCAGACTTTGCAGCGGCAGGAGGCCATTCTGCACAACGCCTCAGTCAGTTTTGCGGTCAGTAGCTTCTCTGAAAGCGATACAGTTTTGTCCACTTTGAATCAATATGTTCTCCCATGATATTTACACACCAACACGTCTTTTGCTTCATCAAAGCTGATCTTACCACTCTAAAAGAGGGAAGGAGCTTTAATCATGTAACACTTAATGAAAACTGCACCTGTGGCCTGTCCCGCACACACACACACACACACACACACATACAGTAGAGGTTAACCCAGAACAGACTTTAACAGGTGCATGCCCATTAAGCCCCTCATCTCTGGCCTCAATTGGTGAAGGCTGATGAATATGCATAAGTTTTGTTTTTGTTTTGCTCTGCACCCCACACCCCCTTTAGCAGGCGAACAAACTCGGCTCACCTCGTTGTGGCCTGCCTGTGTCAGATGTCATTTATTAAACAAAAATGCACAGCTGAGAAAAAACTTAATTTTTGCCATTATATAGCCTATGTTATTTTTGTTTTATATACTGTACAAAACCGTTCACAAGTTTAGGATTAGTAAGACTTTTTAATGTTTTTGAAAGAATTCTCTTATGCTCTCAAAGGTTTAAATTTCCATTTATTTAATCAATATTACAGTAAAAACACTACTATTGTGAAATATTATCACAATTTAATAATTTGTTTTAAAAGGTAATTTAGTCTTGTGACGGTAAAACTGTATTTTCAGCAGCCAGTACTTGTCTTTAAAGGAATACTCCACTTTTTTTTGGAAATAGGCTCATTTTACAACTCCCTCAGAGTTAAACCAGCCCATTCTCACTAATGTGTTAGTTAAACAGTTGGGTTTTTACCGTTTTCGAATCCATTCAGACGATTTTCTGATATTTAGAAGAATATTGGTAACCAGACAGTTTAACTGTTTAACTCTGGGGGAGTTGTAAAATGAGCCTAGTTCCAAAAAAAGTGGAGTATCCCTTTAACGTCACATCATGGTGATTCAGTGCTCAAGTAACATTTCATTATCCTTGTTGTGCTTTTTTGTGAAAACCGTGATACCTTTTTTGAGGATTCTTTGATCAGTAAAAAGTTCAAAAGAACTTTTCTAAAATGTGTAAACATTTTGTAACATTCATTCGGGGCAGTTTATGTGACACGCCGTTTTAGACTTAAAACAGTAAAATTGTATGCGTTTTTACCGTTCATTTAGACTACACCAACGTTTTCGTTTTCGACTTAAAACGTTTTCGACTTAAAACAGGAAAATTGTATGCGTTTTTGCCGTTCATTTAGACTACACTACTATTTAAAAATAATATCTTTGTCTCCATTTAAACTACAAAAACACGAATTTGTAAAAAAACGGTGACGTTATACGTGTATTACGTGCTCAGTCAATAGATGCATAGTTTTTCTTTACCAAGTGACATTGCCAACTATTGAACTGGCATGCACAATACAGCATTTTTAATCATTTTTGCAGATCCACGGGAAACGGGAATTGTTTTGACAAAGGTGTTTGTGAAAAACGCAAAGGAAAAACCTTTTTAGTACATTGTTATCGTGTTAACGTAGCCTGCCCTTAAAATTCGGGAGTTTATCACATCAAGCATCTACAGTGTTAGGTAGAAATCTCTTTCCTAACACTTTAAGCCAATTTTGCTTCTCTGTTTGTGATCAGATAATTTTGAGGGTATGTTTACACAACAACAATGAACTAAAAACGGTAAAAAAATAAAACACAGTACACAAAATATTTTTCAGTTTTTAGTTGAAAACATTATCATTTAAACAGAGCTTCCATCAGAGATGGCAGAGAGAATAGAGATTAACGTATTGAATTATGGACTCCTTATATTATTTGGTAACCTTTTGGACTTTTCAAGTGTCCTTTTTTTTTTTTTTTTTTTTGAAAGAATTTACTTTAAAACTTTAAAAAAAGGCCTAAATTTTTGTGAGAATCACCCTACAATTTATGGTTTACTTTGCTGGAAATAGCAACTGATGCGTTCAACACAAATGGCATATGTTTAATTTCAAGATTAAATGTGCGATTAATCACATACTGAAGATCAAATCTTTAAAAAATGTCTTAGTAATATGGGTAATATGTTGAAAACTGACTTATGAGAAATGGTCCTCATTGCTTGAAAGGCTTTCATGATGTTTTCATCATGTAGTCCTCATTACTTGAAAGGTTGATATGTTTTAAATTTTAGCAAATATCATGACCCCTGTATAAAAACAACTGCATCTATGAGATGTCCGCATTAATAAAAATATTAATATTATTAGAGATATTATTAAAAGAGAAAATGTGAGATATTTCAAATGTCTTTTTTTTTCTTGTAGATGGATGCTCCTTGCTCACCACAGCAGAAGAATCCAGCTGAGGATACTGTTAAAAGGTTGTACCAAAACAGCAAAGTGGCGCCCTTGGTAAGGAACCTTCCAACTGAAACTGTTCTGTTCTTTTTTTGTGATGGACTTCATAGCTTAAACGTTCCTCTGCTCTAAGCCACGTATAGATGCTGGAGGCCAGCAGAAAGGGGACAGGGTGGTGGACATCAGTCTACAGAGTGAAAGAGGTGCAGATGCTCTCCCTGGATTAGGTTAGTCCATGTCAACCTGAAAGAGATAACAACACAGACAAGTTTCTAAATCATCTAATTTAACTTGATTACAGTTGTCGTAAAGCATTAACACCTGTCCTCAACTTGACCACTTCAAAAAAGATGTTTATACATTGTTTAGAGATATTGATTTCCACTTAGAAAAGTTGCCTTGTGCACTATTATCATATTAGCACTGACACATGAGGAAAAGGAATGAGAAATGATGGAGAGAGTTGTCTTGCCTCAGCAACTTTTTAATCTCTCTCTTGCCTATTATTGACTTTCTTATGATTGGGATCTAGGTTAATGAGCTTAGCAGGCATGACTTGGCTAGATAACCTAAAAGACTTAATTCCTTCTGTCAATATGGAAGCTCTACACAAATATCTGATGCACAGAAGCTAACTAATCAATCTGCCCAAATTACAGCGCTGTGCTGTCGGTGGATTTCAACAGGCAAGTTACTATGGACAATAAATGTGTCATTGGTTCTGCATTGGTTCTTTTTATTGCAAATGTTTGTTGATTTAATGTATGTATATATATATATATATATATATATATATATATATATATATATAGTTATTTCAATTACATCTAACAGTCAAAGGTTTTGAGCTGGTACAAATTTTTTCTGGAAGTAATTAATATTTTTATTTAGCAAGGTTGCATTAAACAAATAAAAAGAGATTGCCAAGACATTCATAATATAGACTTTTATTTCGAAAGCAGTTCTTTTGAACTTTCTATTCATCCTAAAATTGTATCACTGTTTTCTATAAAAAAATTGCCACTGATAGAGTAACATTTCTGAAAATTAAGCTTTCATAATATTACTGAAATCATCCTTGGTGAGCATTTTATAAGGGTGTGTGTGTATATATATACTTTGTATATATATATATATACCGTATATATATATATATATATATATATATATATATATATATATATATATATATATATATATATATACGTATATCAGTAAATATAAAAGAAGGATACAAGCGTTCACTTCATGTCTAACCCTCTGTATATTTGCTTAAGTACTTGTGAAAAGTGTCTTGTACTTGCAGCCTATAGGCTCTGGATAGAGATGTTTACAGGCCACTGCAGTAGTTTATAGTGGGTTAGCCTGAAGGGGGTCAACGGTCCTCTGTCCAGAGGGCCTGGCCAGTGACCTCTACAACTGCTAGCCGGCCCATGTCTAAATAATGGGAATCTGGTCCATACATCACAACTGACACCCAATAATTGAGACACTGGAGATAAGGCACCGGCTACTGAGGGTCTTGACACTTGGAAAGAGTTGGCAAACATTGTTGTCACACAGCAGATTATGTTTATTCAGTGTGTCACCGATCTAAGGTGGTGTGAATAATTTCAAGCCTGCACTTTTACAAGCTTGTATTTGGACATCCAAGCCAAGGCTGCATGTCTGCCTGTGTCTGTCTGTTAACCGAGGCTATTTTTTTTAATAATGAATATTGTCTTTTAAAATCAATCCGATTTGAATGCCAATATGTTTGATTAAGGAAAATGTCACAATACTAATAATTAGAAATAGTATTAAACGTTTTAACAACATGTGAACACTATCTAAGAGAGTAAAATTTATGCAGCAAGTTAAAATCTCACTTTTTTTCTAAAATATTTAAATGTTCCCTTGCCTTTTTAACATGGCAAGTGTATGGATTCAAAGTCATTCGGCAAATGATCAAAAGAAGGGGGACAAGACTGCTTGGACACGACCATAATAAATTTTTCTTCCTTTTTTGTTCATGAATACGTCTGGCCCATATGCTTTTCTGCAGAACTATTTGAAAGAAGCATTTACAAACCCAGGCCCACCACATTAAACTCTATAACAATCTTCATTCATGGTAACTTATCAGACTCAATTAATCAACCTCAACAATGGCAATTCTGATGTGTTCAAGCAACCTGAAAGGCATAGGTCAGCACCAGGGCAGTCCTGAGCTTGACTTTTTTTTTTCTGCACTTAAATCTATGTGTTCTGTCATCAGCAATTATTAAGACTCTTTTTACCTCATTTTTAGACCTACACCTCCCCAAAAATAAAATAAAATGTCTAAAGTAAAACAAACAACTTTCAAAATGAGCATTTTGGTTTTCTTTTTTTTCTCTCTCTCTCTAAAAGGCTACAAAGCCCTGCAGTTGATAAAAAGCCTCTCAGTCAGTCTCAAAGGAGCATGTCTTCTCTGCTGCAATGTGAATGGTATTGTTATGGCTATTCCAGTGGGCTGAAAAGGGGTAACCACTGGTTTGATTCGGTTACACGGTGTGGTTAAGTTCTCCCTCCCACCGCCTTGGTGTCTATGGAGGGTCCGTGACCTGTTTTGAATTGGCCAGGGAAATGTCATGTTGCCCCTCCCATGGGCAGAACTCGTATTCACTTGATTGGTACAAAAAATGACTTGGGATGGTAAAAACCACAGTTCCTGCATCACAATTTATAGGTGCTCTAATATCAATAAAATCTATAATTTACTTGTGATATTCAGCTATATGGCTGGTAATACTATGCACTACCAAAGCCAAACTTGTTTGGTCTATTTTAGATAATTTAATGGGCACTGTTGATTTGATGCATGAGATTTCCTTTGCGTTTTTAAGTGTTTTTATTCTAAATTAAGTGTTTTCTTTAATTGCAGATTCCCAGGTGACCCTTGAAGATGAGGAAGATGAACTGGAGTTTGTTATTTCTTCTAAACAGGCAACCACACATTAAAGCTACATTTGAAATAGAAATAGCACCACGAACGATAACTCTAATGATAACTACATGTGTGCACACCAGCGGACGATATCGCTGCAATTTTATCGACTAGTGTTTTAAATGCTCGAGCTCTTAAAAGAAGGATGGATTCTGATTGCTGGAAAAAATTGTTCTGAAAGTGATTTCAAAGAAATCGTTTCCCCGTGCCGTTATCGTTATAGTTGTGGTGCGGTCTCTACTATTCTTTTATATTTAGAATGATTTTTAAGATCTATATCGTTATCTGCCTTGATGTGAAACGGGCCTCTAGTCTGTGCTCTGCATGTTTGTGTCATTTCGAAACTTGACTATGTATGAGTCACATCGTAGTACAACTTTTTTTCTTTATGAATCAGAAATCATTCATTTTTGATCTAAGAAATACCTAAATAGAATTCAGTCTATGATTATATTTTAGGATATTGATCTGTATCAGCATAATAAAGCATTTGCACAATAATTCCTTTAACAAAAGTCGATTCATCAGTGAAGATATCACGGCACTCCACAGTGCGTTTGAACTTTTTTGGCATGTTTTCAAGGAAAGCAAAGAGAAAACTTCAAATCTCTTTAAGTAAATTCATTCGATTTCCCCCATAGTGAAGCCACACAGAGCTCCCATTAAGAGAAAACAAAGGCTATCATGACTTTAACTGACTGTAATTGACTGTGCTGTGAATGGACTCAGTCTACTGCAGCTCTTAAGCCTGAATGCTGTTGGAGAGGTGCAGACATGAGTAACTGTATGCATTCTTCTGCCACATTAAAGAGTGCTCCAAGAATGGGCTTTTGCTTTCCGCATGCCGCATACAGCACAAAACCAGCGGAATGCACAGCTTTGGAGGCGATCTCAATGGCTGAAGCCGAACAATCAAACAAAGATCTTGGCTCTCAAACCCATTTCGGTCTTTAGTTTTGCTCTGCCCCCTTCGCTTTGGCTCTGTCTTTATTTCACTTCTGCACACTGTACAGAATAAATGATCATAGGAATGGCCACAACTTTTACGTTTAGTAAAAGTTCATTTCTCTATCACCTAGAAGGAAATGTAGTACCATTGACCTACTAAATCTCTAGAACAGAGTGTTTTGGCTGGTAGCTGTAGTGTTCTGTATAAACAGTGTCCCTTCTGTGGCAAACCCCTGCAGAGCTGTTCTCCAAACTCTGGTCTCACCAGACCCCACTGACCCTCAGGGACAAGCTTAGAATCAATTACCAATGTCTCCTTTAACTATCTGTCATGTACAACGGATGGTTATTGGGTTATGACTTGATCAGCCTGATCATGCCGTGACCCTTTTCTCAGGGATTATGTGATTATGGCCTAATTCCTTGTAATCTTCCCACTAACTGGTCCATTGCCAGAGTCACAAAACAACTTTTCCATACTGCTGTGCTACTGAACAGACCAGCATGGTCCGAACTGCTCGCGGCCTAGTTACCATAGAAACTACTATAAGATGTCAGATATATATCATTAGCTAAAACAATCCCAGGAGGGGGTATCGCACTAAAGTTGTTTGCTACTTTCACAGGGTTTCAGGCTTGGGTTGTAAAACAGCAAAGTGGAATTTTAGCTGAACTCCAGAAATTAATTAGTTTCATTAGTTGGTAGATAAATGGCGATGACTGGTGTGTTGGATTCCAGCAGAGTTTCACCATAGAGGGTTAATGGGAGTCTGGCCTGGAAGCTTTCCCAGCTCTGGCCCAAGGCCATTTCAGCCAATCACTCTAAACTTATGGTCAAGTCGCACTGAGCTCTGCCACAGCTACAAGTTAACTCATTCAAAGCTGGAAGATAATTGAAGAACAGATAATTGAAGCTTTTTTTTTTTTTTTTTTTTTAAGGTAATGGGGTTGCTTAGGGGTGCTCCTAAATTAACCAAACCAAAATAAAAATGTTAAATTATTTGGTCATTTCAAATTTATATAAAAAAAATGTAAATAAAACATGTCTATTATAATAGGATAGCATCCATTGTTTTTTTAGTTGCAGAGAAATCATTTATTAATGTCATAAAGCTTGACATCTTTATTCTAAATATACTATTTTGTGTATGTGTGTGGGTGTGTGTTTGTTACTCTCCATTTGTGTTGCAAATACCTCCCCGCTGAGAAATGCTTATAATGGGAGAAATCAGTTGGACAGCAGTGAGGTTCATGCCAGCGAACAACTGAAAGGTCTGTTTTCATAGATTCCCTTTTGTGAATATTACAACGAGACCTGGTGAAAAATGATGCATGCTTTTACACTTTAGAATCCTGGCAACTAGGGGAAAAACCCTCTCAAGTCCATCCTGTCGAACAAAGGGCGGTCGACGCATTGAGCTAAGATGCAGCGAGTTCTGCGTCCCAGGCACATGACGTGCATCATGGAAACATATTGTATCGAAATCGTTTGTGGGAGAATACCGGGGATGAAAAAGAATGGGGCGCTTTGATCCGCGCCCTGGGGTCCCGAGCTCCCCGAGTGCGCGCAGACTGACTGCAAGGCCTTATTCACTTTCAGATAGACACACTTACAAACGCCAGTGAATGAAATTAGCATTTTTGTAATTTATCACATTTTAGCCGACTTTTCTGTCTCTTTGCGGAAGGTAGAAGTCTGAATAAAAAAGTGGATCAATTATCAACGCGAAACTGTTCCCTTCTCATATCCAGAAGGCTGCGGTTTGAAAAAAAAAAAAAAAAAAAATCAAAAGTAGCCTATAGGCTATGTTTTAAAAATCGTCTTTCTTTTTTTCCTCTCATTTTTGGCACGTCATGGAAAAAATAGCCTATGCCAGCCAGAATGCGATTAATGGGGCCACATTGACCCCGTTAAAGGAAGTCAGAAAGTTGGGGAGTTTTAAACACCTTTTAAGCAAAGGCTTTTTAATTATTATATTTGTGAAATGTAAATGGAAACACGATGATCAGCGTGCTGTTGCTATAGGATAACGGGACTGTTTATGAGCGTCTAATTAGCACACTGACTAACCTTGTTGGAAAACACTAACACTACAAAAATAAATTACATAATTTGCACGCCGGACTAAAATTATTTATGGGAATTTATAAACTAAAACTCTCTATTAAATCCCTCTTGAAAGCCATGCCTTGTGGAAAGCAGGCATATCAACATTAATTTGCATGTTGTTCTGGGTTTTCTAAGCCCTCAAAGAACTTTCAGAATATGTGCATTCCCTTGCGATGGGTTTAAACAAAGCAAAATGCATTAATAAAAGTATGGGATCCAGGCATTTGAATGAATTGACAGGCAGGGTCTGGATACCTTAGCACTGACACAAAACCGCATACGGTAACTACATGCCTGCCTTGAAATACGAGAGTTTGAATAACGGAGCAGTAATATTTCATATGGGGCACGCAAAAGCTGGATACAATGCCTCTCATATTAAGAACAATATTCAGACCATTATGTGGCGAACAAAGATCATAGCAAGACGTCTTTGAGGCTAATTCAGTCAAAGGCACATTTTGGCTTCCCCCGCGGTAAGGTCAGTGTCGTTGTGTATGGTCCACCAAGGGTGGTATGGGGTTCCACGGCCAAGCAAAGCCAGCTGTCCCTGGTGTAGGGCGACCAATCTGAATTGTTATTCTAAAGCACCAGAGATACTATTGTGGCTAATCGTGAACCCTGTGTTATGAGTTTAAAGTTCAACGATTTTTTTCTTCTTCTTTGCCTAGTTTACCACGACTATCTTTATATTTTACGCACAATGCAAGTTTGTACGGTCAGTTGTGCATGGCTTCTAAAGTAACGATTTAACTTTTTTTTTTTTTTTCAATTTTTTATTGTCTTGAAGTTTGCTTTGACCGTGACTTAGAAAAAACAATACAATTCGATTATTGCTGTCGATTAACCATCATGTCATCGTTTACAAAAATAATAATTACAAATGGCGGATCATCAGCATCTTATAGGTAATTAAATTTAAGAGATGTCATGCCTGAGGTTATATAATTTGTTTTTTAATTTTGGGTGGACTTTAAACGGGTGTGCTTATCGCTGATCACAAAATAGATTAAAAAACATAATTTAGCCTGCACAATAATTGCACGAATGAACTTGGATTTGACATATGCTAGTGACCTATTATTATTTATTGAGGAAAAAATCAATGCACTTTCATAACAACATATCCAAAAATAAAATTCTAAATATGCACATTAAATGCATACAGAACGCCTCATAGATAACAATTAGTTAAAATATGGAGGAAAGCCTTGTGCTGAAAGTCTTTTTCCTGAATTCAAGCTTTGGGGTGAAGAGAGGGAGGCCACCTTCAGACGAGCAAAACTCTGCCAGCTTCCCATTTTGCTCTTGTTAGGTGGGCATCCCGTGCGCAAAAACCCAGCTTGCCTTGGTGATGTTTTATTTTCCATGGACCAATGTCATGGCAGAACATTATTTTTTCTGGAAGTAACTGGCGTCTTTTGTTACAAAAGAGAACGAGGAGCTGCCTGAGGGGGTCACTCTCTCCTTTTATGCTCAATTGACCAATATTTTCTTTTTCTGAAAAATCCTGCACGCGTGCGCGCCTTTGTGCACTTGTTTCCCTGGATCCTGTTTGGCTGCTAAGAAGTTAAATGATTCGCAATAGACACCGGTTGCTGTGTCGAGGGTTTCGTCAGTACAAAGGCTGCTGCTTTCGCACCATATGCTTAATGGACACAGCCGTAAAGGCCATAATAAAGGTAAAACGTGGTCTTTTAAAAGTTGGAAAGGTTCCCTTTATTTGATTTAGATGGAGCAGACTACGTGCGCACAAACCAAAGCGCGCCCGGGCATTGACTCGCTCTTTCTTTTCTGAGGCACTGCAGCCACCACGTAGTGTTTCATTACAACATAAGCTTTTCATCACCCGGCTTTGTTCTGAATGAAAGTAATGCTGTGAATTAAAGAAATGACAATATTTTCTATCAGCTTGAAGGTCCAAGAGAAGGGCTCTTAAGCTTGGCAAAAATCAGGCTCATCATTCATCACGTCACCCCGCACCTGTGGTCCTGGCATTCAAAGTATACAAACCTATTCTTATTAACCTTAATTATTCAAAAACGACACAATGGCTGAAATAGAGCAGGTTGAAGTCTGTTTATTGGTCGTAAATGTCTCTCTGAAGATCTCCAAGGCTCTTTGTTAGTCCCGCGCGGAGACCGCTCTTCTCCTTTCAGACATGAGTAGCCTTGGACTTTTCAGTTTTCAATCGTAACATCTGCTTAATCGTACGGATCAAAATATGGAGACACCAAACATATGCAATGGAGGATTTGTTAAATCCGGGTAATGAGTTATTAACAAGACAAAACAATGGAGCAGGATGGTGAGGGCCTTATGTTAACGGAGAGTCACTTTACGAAGCACCTCGCATTACCCTTCCCTCTAAACGGAACGCCAGGTGATGGCGAGGCAATCAAAGTCCTTGGGAGGCTGCGCTCGGGTCCTTTTTTTCAGCACGTGAAAAATTGGTGGACATAAATTTAATGGCTTGATCAAGTCAGCGCAATGAGTCTATTGCCTGTGGACTTGGAGGACAAAACAATACTGTTGGCTGGCTCGTGTTGGCGCCCTAAATCCGGGTGGATCATTGAAAATGTGTTTTATTATAACGCACGTCATGCTTTACTGTTCCCATATTGTGTTAAGACAAAGGCTAATGGTACATTAAAGACAAGAAAACCATGCCAACACGTCTTGGAGACGTTGTAGACGGAGACGGGCCTCCCTCTTTGCTTGTTTTAAGCAGCTGCTGTCCAGGACCCAGGCGCACAAAAAGAACAAGTTTGAAATACCAGGTGCATCGAAGAGAAACTCGACAGGGACGGATATATTAAAGCTCAGAACACAGTCCGAGCAATAAAGATATCATGGCAATTATCTGTAGACTTAGCACCGTGTAAAACCAGGGGCGCCTGGACAGCCTGTCCTTTGAAAAAAAAAAGGAAAAAAGTCCCCCTTTCCCGGGGTGCGTGATGAGCCTGGCTTTCTCAAGCACCTGTTAGCCTGTGCCCTCCCGAGGTAATATTTCTGGACAAATAATTAGTGATATATTTGTTGTATTGAGGATTACGCTGTACCCCCCCAGATGCGACTTGGACATGGGGGATTTAGTAGGCTTTAAAGAGTTTGGGTATCGGGGAATCAACTGGTGTTTGTTCAAGCTGGCAGCTGGCACCCCAACCCCGATGCCACTGTTGCCATGCACTAATGAAAATGCGCTGGACTCAAAGATTTTCAGTCTTATCCTCCATATTTTCTCAGGAGATAATCCTAATATGAGCAGATTTAAAGCTTATGAGAATCTTGAAAGGCGTTGTTCCCAGCTTAATGCGCATCGTAAGATTGTTGACACTGATAGTTATAAACCGTGCGTAATAGTTTCACTTTCTTTAGTAATTATAGTTGGGGCTCATAATGATGACGCCGACTGTATTTAGCATATTTTCCGAAAATGTCACTGTCTGATTTAACGCACACGGGAATCTGTCTGATTTAACGCACACGGGAAAAGAAAGGAACAAATAGTGCAAAAGAGTGTTATTTGTTCACATTTTTAGTCAGTTAGTGATTTTGACCGTATAATTAATCAAATCTACACGACTGACCAAACTGCGCAAAGCCCCTGGTACCCACCGGCATCTACAATCGCAGACTTTGCAATGGAGCCTGTGGGATGTTGGAACACTTAATTAACGGGTATAATAATCCTTGCAAGCAATAAACTGTCGCCTTTTTAAGCTTTGCCAAGCCAAAACCCCAAAGTGACAAAATAGAAACCTGAAAAGATCCAGTGCATCAGCCTTTTTCTTCCGCTCCGTCGGCGCTCTTCCAAAAGATGCTTTAAGGGTTTTGGCAGCCTGTTAAGAAAAAACTCCTTTCACTAATGTAGGATGACAAAATACAATGATAACCACATTTTTTTTTTGGTCTCTGTCTATCACTATAAGACGTTTGGGGTCCTTTATCTTAGTTAAGTCTGACTTGCTAACATTTGACTTTCTAATGAGCATAATGGGATTACATGGTTTTAGTCCTGCGTCCTGGATAGCAGAAATCAACGCGTTTAATGAGGCGCTAATGCATGGAAAGGTTGGATTATGTCCATCAGTTTAGATTTCATTTAATTCATTAAGAAAGTTCCCAATAGAATTTGAGGATTATTGTTGACACTAATTAAATAGTCATCTCCATCTTCAATAAACTTACATGACAGGGAAGTAAAGGTGTAAATTAGGAACCGCAAATAGTTAACAACAGCAAAAATGTAATTATGCTTCCACTTGATATGTATGATAGCATACTCTGCGCACTCAATGTATGATATGGCATTTAGAACAAACAGGAACAGACATTATAATGTAAACAAATGAGATTTTAAATAATAGTAATAAATATATAAATAAATTTAATATTATTTTATTACATACCTGTGATTCCAGTCAGTCCATCCAAGATATTAGCCTCCAAGAGCTCTTCATGAGTTTACATTGGACATGTGTTTGGGCTACCTCTTAATAACTGCGAGAGCTGACGTAGAGACAACTGGGTACATAGAACACGAGTGGATACCACGGGAAAATTTTGCCTCTGAGCACCTGCAGTGTACCCAGGCCAACTGCCCAAGGCAAAGGAAACGTCATGCCTCTTTTAGCAATTTGGATCCACACTTTAAAACATACTCGTTCCTCTCCTGTTTAGTTATTTATTTATTTTTCACCCAAACTGTCAGCGTCACAGCGAGGGTCCGTCAGATTTCCATAATGATAAATAGTGACATCTTTCAGCTGTTGTTGCACACCATATCCAAGGCTTCACACCTCACGTTAAAGTATCTATTCAGAAAGCACGTTTTTAGTTACAGTTAATCGCACGATTTTACTCTGGCCTATTCATTGTTGCCGCATAAAAGATGACCTGTCTACAAGATATATCATCATAGCCAAATCTGTTGACATTATCATATTGTAAAAATAGAATTATATAGTGCACCAAAGGTATACATGTTTGTCTTTTTTTAATTAAAATTAAAATTTTGAATCATTTTGATATTTTAAACTGATGTTGAGCCTTGAGCAAACAAACAACATATTTATTTGGGGGTCTATTTAATGGAATTGTTTAGGGATACTGGGACATTGAATGATTCAAACACATGAGCGTGGGATATCAGACAAATTTATTGAGTCATATCAGTATAAATATAGACAAATATTTTTCGTGTTTCGTTTGTATAAAAATATGTTTTCTTTGACATAAAATCAGTATTAAATTAGAAAAATATATTACAGCAGAATTAAAGCAATTAAATACAACACAAAATGATTGCCAGTGGCCTTATGTTCAATTCAGACAAAAAAGCTGAAAAACGGATAGTCACAATAATATATTACAAATAAACAAAATAAATGGAAATAAATCCATACAATTCAGACACACAGTGTGTATTCAGGATAATAACGGCACTGCCTCAGGAAATACAGTTAAAGGGGGGTTCATTCTCAATGTTGTTTATGGATGATTTCAAGTGCAACTTTCGGGGGTCCTCTGGTGTCCAGACTTTCGCTGTTCTAATGATGTTTTGATCCTTTAACTGCTTCTCATCAGTCCATGAAAGAGAGTGTCCGGCGAGAGGAGGCAACCCGTAGTCTGGGTCATTTGGAGATGGGGATCCTAGAAAAAAAGGTAAGAGTTGTTTAAATGATGATGATAACAACAACAACAACAACATTAATAAGTAATAATAATTAATAATAATAATACATACTTGTTCCTCTGTGGCAAATTATGACTTTTTTAGGTTGGTTTAAAGTATCACTGTGTGGGTTCCGGATCGGCATATCGGACTGCACGAGTTCTGCAAGAAAGTTTATGTAGCCGATTGCCAGACGTAAAGTGTCAACTTTTGAAAGTCTCTTCTCGTATGGTAGGGTAGGGATGTGAGATCGCAGTCCCTCGAACGCATCGTTAATGGACTGCATCCTCCGCCGCTCCCGGACGTTAGCAGCTTGACGCAACTGTTGCATCTCTGCTTCGGATCTCATGCGCCTCCGCCTCTTCAGTAACAGCCCGTCTCTGTGAGGGGACAGCTCCGAGGTGCTGTCAGCGCATCCGTACGAGAAAGTCGAAGACGACGAGGAAAAGGAGAAGTTGCCAACGTCACAGTAGTCTCCGTCCTGGGCTATCCGACTGTCTTTATAATACTCTTGGATTTGACTGGTGAGGAAATCGACGTCCTCGTCCAAAAAGTCGTCTGTGTCCAAGTGGTCTCTCGACGAGTGGTCCGTGAAGAAGTCATCGTCGTCGAAATAAGGGGAGGAGAAGGAGTCCAAGCCTGTGAATGGATCCAACACAGTGTCCATTTTTCTGTGCTGTGTTGGGGTTGCCCAGTAACAACAATCGCCAACTTTTCGAGCTTTCCTCTTGATGCTCAAGAGTTGGTTCGGTTTGAAAGGCGGCACGCGAGGACTCTTATAACTACATCCATAGTCGCGTGCCATTGATCGTAAACGCCAGCCAATCAGCGCAAAGCATCCCAAGCGTCCGCAGCCGATGCACCTCACCTTAGAATAAGGCATGTAAACAGGCCACCCCCTCAGTACACGCCCCCTGAGCCCAAAACACCGAGGCAGGACATGCTCCTAAATTGTCAACAAAGCGCCTGCCTATATTGACAACTGTATCAGATATAATATCTCCGTCAGTGTCTGAGGCAAACCTTAATAAATGACCAGAATGAGGCAAAACATTTTCCTTTTGTGTGGATTTTCAGCACACTATTTTATGATACAAAATATAAGAAAACCAACTGTAGGCTATATTTATTTAACTGCAATGCACGAATGTTAAAAATTAGCCTACACTCTAAAAAATGCTGGGTTGTTTTGACCCAACTTTGGGTCAAATATGGACTAACCCAGCCGTTGGGTTAAATTTTAACATTACATTTTTAACCCAACATTTCGGGTTTGTCCATATTTGACCCAAAATTGGGTTAAAACAACCCAGCATTTTTTAGAGTGTAAGTATTACCAATTTTACAGTTACTGTGTGGTATTTGGTAATGTATCGTTTCCTCGTATGCACTCTAAAAAAAAATGCTGGACCCAATTTTGGGTCAAATATGGACAGACTCAAACATTGGGTTAAAAATGTAACTTAAAATTGCAACCAAGTGGCTGGGTTTGTCCATATTTGACCCCAAATTGGGTTAAAACAACCCAACATTTTTAGAGTGTGTTAAACAAAGGAGCAGTTAAGGGACATGGTGTGCCTTCTTTGATCGACACTTAAATTTTAGTTTTGTCTGCCCGTTTGTCTTTCCTCCATTAACAGTGAGTGCATAAAGTGCACACAGTTATCATACAATTAAGGGGTCAGGGAGGTAGGTATGCCTACTGTTGACCCTTTCACCTTGAGGCTCCTCTTAAAGCAGGTAACAATTGAAGCGCTCACCATTCGCGTGCGCGAAGGCCCTTCCATCGGCCTCTTAATTATCTAGACATGCAGCTATGTTAAAGCCCCCATTGGCTGTCCACGAGGTCCGTACAATACAGCACCAACATTTGTGTATGAGTGATGTCAGTGAAAGGAGCTGTCATTTAAGAGGCAGAAAGGGTAAATAATAGGTCTGTCATCAATCACGGGTTGTAGGATGTCTGGCCGCACGTTTGTGTCAAAGCAGTGGACACTCGCCTGTTGAAGAAACAATCACAAGAATAAGGCGAGAGCTCCAGTGGTAAAGCGAAGGCGTTTTCAGCTTTCAATACGAACAACCTTTAGTCCCCCTGAGCGCATCTTTAACAATAAGTGTTCAACAGACGGAAAAAAAATATTGAAAGGCAAAACAAACATAAAAACGACTCTTACTGACTGAATGAATATTGAACAATGAGTGGAATGAGAAATTAAACCATTGTGTCTCAATTTTCTCAAATAAAAGTTATTTACCATTTAACAATTTGATATTCAATGAGAAAATTCATTGAAAGATGAACCAAAACCAAAAGCAGTTTTCGTGAAAAATTTGAAAAATGTTAAATAGTGTGTCCATAACAATAATAAATACCCCCCGCCCCCCGCCAAAAAAAACAACAACAACCAAAAAACAAAACATTCTGTATATAAATCCTGCTTTAAAATAATGTTATAATAATTAAATATCTGTAAAAATAGCAGCAATTATGTTATTATAATTAAACTACATTTAAATAAGTTCAGTTAGTTGGGACCACCACAGTTTTGAACGCCAAATTCCCATAGATTTTTAGGGAAAAAAAGAGTTGTCAAATAAAGTGGGTGCTTTTATGTTTTCTTTTACCACTAGACATCATTAAGACCTTGAATAAACAAGAGTAAATATACCAGCGGAGAAACGACAAGCAGCGGGTATGGTTTTATTATGTAGAGGGCTGGTACTGGCGTTAAGAGCAGTGTGCCTCTCAGTGGTCGCCAATGAGGAGGTTTGTAAGACACCTCACAACAAATTATGCTGGTACCTGAGATGCTAACTGGTTGGAGCCCATAAACAACCCTTATTCTCTGCTGTTCAAATAAAGATGGAGGGGGCCACTTTGTTAGTTAAAGGGAAAAGGGGTCTGGTGAGTGTATGGTTGTTGCACCCCGCTGCAAGCTGCAACGCGAGGGACAATCCGTGGGAATCACACCACTTGCGCGCTCTGCTCTCAAAGAGACCCACTGCCGGCAGTCAATGAACAGAGCCAGCCGTACAGCTTGTATGCTAAAACGCGTATTTAGAATATTAAAAAAGGTATTGATAAATGACTTTTTTTTTTTTTTTTTGGAAGAGGACCGTAATTAATTTCTTGCTTAAAAGTTTAAAAATGGAATATCAGAACGTATTTCTCCTAAAAATGTCTATTCCACTATATTCAGTTCAATTTTTGAAGGAATATGCGAGTAATGATTTTGTTTTTAATTTTGGTATGTAACATAAAAAGTCACTGAACGATTATTTACTCAAGATCACAAAGTTCACGTTCAAGTGCATAAAAACTCTCCACCTGTGGAGCGGCACAAGTGGCACCTGAACGCGCACCGGTTGTTCGGCAAAGCAAGTCATTCAGCCTTTAAGCACAGACAGGACCGTGACCGTCACCTTTGCGCTATCAATTAAGCAATGTCACATATCTCAGCGACCGCGGCTGCAGACCTTGGGCTGGCCTGGGAATAGCAACACATGGATTTTTGAACAGATATTACAACGATGAGCGTAATAAATCAGGCGTCATGTCATGGTGCATTACAATTCACGAGGCAAGTAAAGACTGCAAGCAGCAAGAACCGACGCGTTACAAATCTTAAAAACTATGGATAGTAATAATTATAATTTATTATTATAAATAATGATATAAAATAGGCTACATACAGGCTATGTTGACAACAAATGTTTTACATTGTTTTAACTCAAAATAATGTTTTTATATACGTTATACAACTCATTTTAAGTCAGTTTAATGTCATTTAAGTTTATGACCTAAACATCCAAGATTTCCTAAAACTTTTTTTTTTTTTTTTACAGTTGAAGTATTTTGGATTAGCGAGAGGAAAAAGTTAACAGATTTTCTATTTATTTCAGTGGAAATCGCTACTAATCCGTTTAATCTTTGTGTCAAACAGGATCAGAGAAAGGATTAAATATAAAGACAGATTACATGAATCAATCAGTGGCAATAATTGGACAACTTAAGGTAATATGGGCTTGAAAGGTGTACCAAGCCCCTTGAACCACAGCTATGATTTTTTGACTTGGCTTCCCTGGAAGACATTGGGCCACTGAAGAAAAAAAAAAAAATCTATTTTCAGCAACAAATAGCCAACAATTGTTGAAACAAAAGCCACACAATGTGATTGGTACTGGTCCTCGCGTGTTGGGTAATGTAAAACGATAAAAGGCACCACACTTTGTCGACGCGCCTGTCAAGTGGCTTTTATTGTCTCTACACTTTACATTTATTGACCTGGTATTCAAAAAGGTTGACTGGTAGACAACTATTGACTACAGGAGCCTCGCGTTTTCACGGCCTCTTTGAAGGGTCATAGATGTTAGGAACGCAAGCTGCAGAACACTGGGGATCCCTGGGAATCCAGCCACATGCGCCAGAGCAACAGGAGCAGCAACAGCGCACTGAGCGCTCGTCCTCCAGCTTGCCAGACAAATTAGAACGGTAGTCGTGGGGTGTGGATGAGAGATTCCTGCATTCACAGCGATGAACAAATAAAGCGCTCTTTCTTAAGTGTCACATCACACGGGGACACATTGCCCCCACCTATTTAAAACAGGCAGTGGTTTCATTCAAATATCAGCAAAAACTCGGCATTTCCTTTGAATGAAAGATATAGGCTGTATACTTCTTCGAAGATTCACTTCGATTAAACCCATTTAAAGACGACTCATTTTATCATAGATTAACAGCATCAATTTCATTGATCTGGAACTGGGGAATGTAGTTAGAAGCGTATAATCATAATCCTCTCAAAAGCGTAAACAGCACCCATAAAAGTGTTATAGGCTATAGTATAGCCTTTGTTATTATTAGCCTACGTTTATCCTCTCGGAGATTAAGAAGATTATTGATTCACTACATCCTAGACTAATTGATTTTTCCTCCGTTAATCTAAAATATGGCAGCCCTTAGGCTGTTTCAGATTAGTGAGGTGTTTGAGTAGCGTCCAGCAAATAAACCTTAAAAGGGGAGGGTGCAGGGTGGTCCACTTGAGTCTATGGCCCAGTGCAATAGTCCTATTTCTCTTCATCATTCATTCTGCAAAATAAAGAACAACAAATAATCATACATCACGACAACCTTACTAAGACAAACTTGATTAACAGAAACACTTAAAAAATAAAGATTATTTTCGAATTATCCATTAAAAATTAAATGTCTAGAAATAAAGTCCTCAACAGTGCTTCACAAAACAGTTTCACAAACCAGAAAACAAAGTTAATTATTAAGCAGACGTGAAACATCTTTCCGGGAGCTGTCACGTCCAAAGGTGCTGAACTAGGTTCGTCTACCATATAGCCTAAAAAGAGTGCAAAAAACTGACAAATATGAAATGCATTACTTTTTTTTAAATGAAACATTAAAACTAATATAGGAAATACGCATTAATGAGCTATTATGAAAATTTCCAAATCTCTATGGTATTAATACCATAGTTTTTTTTTTTTTTTTTTTGCTATTTAAATAAAAAAAGTCGTTTATAATCTAGCCTAGGCCTATAGATTTCTGAACATGGGATTAATGAACTGAAATGTGCCTATATGTGTGCAAAATCAATTTACTACATTTAAGACAACTACATTTATTATTGTAAAAATTATAGTAAAAAAAAATTTACATTTATTATAATTAGGAGCTAGTTATAACTATGTAAGCCATTAAGAATGTGCTATAGTTTGAATTATTTTATGTTTCCCAACAGCGCATGCATGACTACGCATTATTCAAGTTGCTATCAGTGCAACAAATGTTGCCTTCTAGAATCATGGAATTTCATTTTAACTTTTTTTGGTCTAAAGTTAAGAATGGGCAACTTAAAAAAATGGTAGGGACAGACATAGGCTAGCTTTGCAGTTATTCATTAAGGCGGTAGCCTATATCTAATCATTGCAATGAATATTGAAAATGATGCAGGGTGCTGTCATATTACACTGTTTATCACAGATATCACACCGTTTTTGCGGGTTTCTTGCAGGTGACTGCATGACTCTGGCACTATTGGAACAAGATATTCTATATTGATGCTTTTGGGAATCAGTCAGCAATTCTAACATGATTCGTAAGCTATCTTTTTTTTTTTTACTTTTAGAATA